TAGTTAAAATTCTTAATGATATCAAAAAGCTTCCCATTTTAGTGTTAAAGTTGTTGTATTATATTATTTGGTTATAATTTACTCTTATGTAGAGGTTATATAATTCTATAAAGTAAATGCCCTCTCATTAGGTTGTTAATAGTCGCTGCTGAGGTTGTAAATCGTAATGACAGAGCAAATGTGAATCTGGAATATAAGGGGCAGTAATATCATTTTACAAAACGAAAATATTACTCTGAGGTCCTTTGGGACCTGTCAGTGATTTTGACATTTCGTGGGACCTCAGAGTAATAAATTGCCTTCTGTGGGACCTGTTAGTGATTTTCCCTAAATTAAATTCTTTATGTCTAAATAATGTTTTACGCAAATTATCTTCACTACATGTAACTCAACATCTCTTATGTATAACTTATCTTTTTTTTGGGCAAACCATCATCTTAGGGGCTGTTTGTCAATCAATTTTCTAACAAGAGATTTATCCCCAATTTTTTCTTTAAAAAAATTCAAGTATAATTATGCAAAAAAAAATAATGCTGTTTAAATAAAAGGCATTAATTTATATCCGAATTGAACTGCATATTATTCAACAAATCAAAGTTCCTAAAACATAAATATTCTATTTTCTTTAACTCCAAAAAAAAAAACAACGTCACACATGTTTCAGGGTCGGGGAAAAAGGTTATAAAATTTTAATTTGGGTAAAACTTTTAACCAGAAGACTAGTTTGACCCAAGTTGAATTTCAACAGCATGCTATTAAGAAGAAGAAACATGAAAGGCTAACTGGAAAAAACGTCAATTGATATTTGATAGCAAGATAGTTGGCGTTCACTAGCGTTAAAACCTGCAACGGCCGGCCTATACGGAATCTATTAAACAACTGATAATAGCAGCATTCACCAATCACGAGCCAGATCGGTTGAAAGATTCAAACAATTCCCTTACGTCACAACCCGTGGTCTTCACCTGAACACTCATCATTCTCTCTTGTCGCCAATTGTTGTTCTTCTCATTATTCTTCTATTTGATTTTTTCCTCCTCAATCCTTATTCTTTAATTATCGCACGACGCTCTCATATGGACTTTCTCCGATCACCATTCTTCTTAATTCGTTGTCTTCCTGAAGTTCTCACGAATATTATTCTCAAATTTTCTTCCATTGGATTTGGAGACTCGGTGGTGCTGGATCGATTGGATTTCAGGTGGTTGTTTCAACGTTCCTGGATTGCGGATGAATGGAAATCTCTGAACCTTCTGCGTGGTGCGTCTCATTCTTTCTTTTATCTTCGTTTATGAGCTAGAGTTATTGTTTACTTGTGATGGAAGTCTCAGCATGAATAATAATAAAAAATAAGAGCACAATCGTCGAAGATGAATATAGTTACAGATCCTAATATTTCTTTAATTGTGTCCCTCAGCTTCATGTTTAGGCGAACAAGAATGTGATTATTATTGCGTCTTTCTTTATCCATTTCATATTCTTTTTCATAAAGTTAATAACTTGAGATCGAAGGCACTGCGAATAGTACATAAGAGCACCATTTCTGGAATTGATTCTAGTTACAGGCCCTGATATTTCTTTGATGTTATCTCGTAGCTTCATGTTTTTTTTCTTTTTTTGGCGACACTCTTAGCTTCATGTTTAGGCGAACAGGAACGTTTCTGAGAAATATTGCGTCTTTCTTTATCTATTTTATGTTCCGTTTCATATCAAGTTATTGTTAACTTGTGACAGAAAACATCATGAACAATACAAACACTATTTCTGAAATTGATCCTAGTTACAGATTCTGACATTTATTTAATGATATATCCTAAACTTCAAGTTTGGCGAACAGGAATTTTTAACTATTATTACTTCCTTTTTAAAAATCTATTCTGTATATTTTTTCCGCCCACAGTTGTTGTTAACTTGTGACAGAAGTCAGCATGAATACTAGGAATATCATTTCTGAAATTGCTTCCAGCCAAAGATTCTGACATTCCCGTAATGCCTTTATGCTAAGGTGAACGGGAATGTCTATGATTAATATTGCGTCTTTCCTTATCTGTCTTATTTTCTTTTCCATATTCTAACTGTTCACTGATCATGGAGCTCACTTCAGCAGGAATTCTAAGAAAGATATTTATTACTGGATTTTTTTTATCAATTCTGATTTTGATATTCCTTATCTTCAGCTCTTAGTTATATATTTAGGCTTCATTGAATTGTTTCTGATTATATACAGGAAGGAACACCATCCAACCAAAATATTTTAACTTGTGGATTGAGCTTATTCTTTCCTTGTGAAGATTACTGCATATATCTAATTTCCAACATAAATGGCTTCATCCTTGGGGAAGCTCCTAGCTGAAGAAGGGTTCAAGGGAAGCAGAAGAATCACAAGATCCAAATCTTCCGTCCAGTCTAATCCTGATAAGATGCCCCATTACTCAATCAGGGACCAGGAAAGGAGACTATCTGTATCAGATGACAGAATTAGAGAGGAGAGAACAAAATCTTACATCTCACAATATCGGATTGGGGTTGAATTTTTAAATAGAGACACTGCTCAGCGCGGGAGACCAAGGGATAATCTTGCTGAAAGAGGGAAATTGGATGACGGATTGAAGAATGAAATTGCTGAGAAATCTTCCAGCAATGCGAAGTTGAGTAAAAAATTTGATAGCAAAACACCAGGACACACACCTAGAAATGAGATAACCAAGGTGGGCGACCAAGAAGATGGCAAAGTTAAAGATGTTTATTCCAATGAATTAATTGCAAATAGAGGGAAAGAAGAGTATTTGAATGACTTTAGGAATAGGGATAAGTGGCCCAGGATGCTACTCAAGGATGCAAAGCTGGATAAGAGGCACAGCAGCAGTTCCAGTACACATAAGGTTGGACAGTTGAATGGAAGTGCCAAGAAGAATATAAAGCGACAGGAGAGATCATACGGTCGATCAACTAACGAAAGCTTTGAAAATAGTTACGACAAAAATCATGGGCATGCTTTGCAGACAACGGCTGATGTAGCTCTCGATGAAGTTGCTGTGCAAGCAGTTGTTTCTATTCTAAATGGATATGTAAAACGCTTTCTAAACGATGAAGATTTTCGGACCACATGGCGTCACAATTGTTTTTCTTCCTTGAATTTCATTGAACTCGAAGATGAGAACAATACTGAGACCAAAGTCATAAGAAGTCTTGAACAAGCAATTGATACAATAGAACGAGCTGCTGAGGAATCTGTATCTGAAAAAGAATTGAAGAGAAACTCTTTGCAGCTAAGCATTATTACAGGTCTAAGCTTAAATGAATTGAAGTATGGTTTTACATGTGGGATACCGAATTATAAGTTGTCAGCCTGTGCTCATCTTTACCTCAGTGTAGTCTATAAGATACAGAGAAAGGGTAAGGTATCGGCGAAGCATCTTTTGCAAGTATTTTGTGATTCCCCTTCTCAGGCACGGACAACATTGCTTCCTGAATTGTGGGAGTGCTTATTTTCTCCACAACTTTCTCATTTGAAAGAATGGTACAACAGGGAAGTTCATATGCTGGTGAATATGACAAGCAGAACAAGAAAAATGAAGCATCTTGAAAAAGTGTATAATGAGCATTTGGATTCTGGGACTCATTCATTTGCTGTATACTACAAAGACTGGCTCACTGAAGGAGCAGAAGCTCCATCAGTTCCTTCTATCACCGTTCCTTCAACATCTGCTTCAGAAAGTCATTACGGAAGTTCCCTTGGTCATTCTTCTGGATTAGCTTCTTCCGTTGATTCATTCTCACCACAGCCAATGGTTAGCAAAAAACTGTATGATTCTGTCTTTGGTAGCTCGAGTAAAGCTGGAATTGACGAAGAGGAAGATAATGCCATGGAAGATAACTTACACAACTGCAAGGGACACTCATGTGTTTCATCTATTGCTGAACAAAAATTAACGTTTCCCTCTAAAATGGTTGAATATACCGATGAAGACACTGAAGAAGATTCCCAGATGACGCCGCTTGCTATTGAGCTCCATACTGTATGTTTTGACTCATTTTTATTATTTCTTTTCATCACATGTCTTAGAGTGCATTAATATAGCTATTTTCTCTATAACCATATGACTATAATGTGCACGCACAACCACAAATATGCATAAAGTGAATAGATTATTCTTACTGCTCTACAGCGTGATATTGAAAATCTTTTGCAGTTACATTATGATTTTTATGGCATGTTTTTTCAATAAATTATAGAGTCACATGTACTTATTTGTTTCTCTCTTCTCTTGCTCTGCATCTAACACATCCTCGCATTTGTATATAATTTTTGACGTTTTTGGTGCAGAAAGGAACCTCAATGATAGATGAACAAATGTGGCAACGGAGAAGTGTCAGTGATGATATTGCTAACTCTTTCACACATGTAAAAAGCAACATGCTAGATGATCTACCGTATGAGAGAACTAATGAAGTACCTCTTACCAAGGTGACAGGATCTGTTTTAGGAATGCAAGATGCCAAAAGGCATTTTGATCACATTGTGTCTACTGGTTCACTGTCCAGTGAGGAATCAGTCTCCAACTCTGTTGCAAATGTAACGTGCTCTTGGCTATTTCTATTGTTTGATAGCGCCTTCTGCTTTTTGTGTCTTCTTTTTTTTTTTTTTTGGGTGACCTCCTCTAACATATTATTACTTTCATGCAGCCAACAGAGACGAGCTCTTCTCCTAAAGGTGAAAAACAATTACATTTCATTAATTTAAGCTCCATGAGAAATCATGTCTTGTTCTATCATCATTTAAGGGATAAGTGGTGAATGAAGAACATAACTACTTTGTTGCAGGGTTATATTTTCCAACTATTCCGCAGGAGTTCATTTGTCCTTTGACTGGAACTTTATTTGAGGAACCGACTACCCTTGAAACTGGTCAAACCTTTGAACGAGCAGCAATCAAAGCCTGGTTTGAAAAGGGAAACAGAACTTGCCCGGTGTCTGGAAATAGTTTAGATCATGCTGTCATGCCATTAACTAACCTTGTTTTGAAGCGTTTGATTGATAATTGGAAGTCAGAACAATTTAGTCGCATACTGGATTTTGCTTCTCAAATCGCGGACAAAGAAAGCCATAAGCTGAAACATGAAGAGGCTGCTGTCTTTAATTTGGAGAGTCTCATCACTTCATTGAATGGAGTAAACAGAAGAAATTATGTCAGACAACTCATCTCTATAGGGTTTCTGTCATTTCTTTTTAGGAGGTTTGAATTGGGAAATGTGGAAGAGAAAACACATGTTTTGGCACTCTTGGTAAATTGCAGTGAAGCAGATTCTAGTTGCATATATCAGATCGTGAGGAACATTGACAAAAAATGGCTTCTACAGCTTCTTTGCAGTGAGGATGTTGCCCCAAGAACAATTGCAATTTCGCTACTTACTGAATTATTTTCTCTTACAAGGTGAGTATTATCATTATTTTCTAATTTCTTGGGTTTTGTCTGGCACCTTTAATTTAAAATTTTATCATATTACCGTTGGTCTCACTCGTTTGGAAGTCTCTTTCCTATTAATGCTTTAGTTTGGATCTTTTGCACTAGCGCTAGCTGTAAGAGAGGGAAACACTGAGGCCCCAATTTTTCTAGCTCCCCTTTACAAATGAAATAAATTATTTATTGGAGAGGATTTTGAGTCCTAATGTTTTCTGTTTTTATTCATTAATCTGCGGAAAATGGAAAAGCATGAATCCTAGTCTGTGTCTTTGATGGGTTAGCGACAACTCAGTTTGAATGCCTTGCCTTAATTGATGATATTCTTTCTCATCAACTCCTTTGTCCACCGCTTCTAACTCTTTAAGCACTTATCATTCCATATGTTGCTTCATTAAAGCTGCTGTTAAACTCAGTATTTTTCCACCTTTAAATTTTTAAATGTTTAAGGCAATATATTTGCGCATCTTACGCAAACAAAGCATTATTATCTTCCAAAATATATTTTCGCATGTTACGCAAATAAATTTAATATTTCTTACTCATCTAAAGTAGAGTACCATACAAAGCACCTTGAAAAGGTTAAAGTTGCAAGTCTAATCTTCTTTATAACCATTACCATTGGAAAATTTTATAAAACAAATTTAAAATAAGAAAGATGTAGATACATGAGTTGAGAAAAGGCGTATGCACATATGGACTTGCGCATATCATTACCGCTTTAGTACTACTGTACTAGTACTAAACAAGGGATGAAGTATTGTTTAGCTCTGACATGTTGCCGAAGTGAAAGCCCATTGGAATTGAAATGCATGCCATAGAGTCTTACAGCCGCCGAAGGTAAATAGTACTTTACACTACCATAGCCTTATGGTCTCAGGGGTTGTGCTCTAAATTATTTGATCAATTAGACTTCGATATCATGTCGATGAACCACTTGGTCTAAAGATGAAATTCTTAGATCAACATAATGGTTTTAAAAAGTCTAATATGATAAATGATTGAGCTATTTAGTTTTTAAATCATGGCGGCATCATGTTGAACAAATTGTTGAGGGTAACTCCTTTGGGCACTTTAGTATATATAGTACTAGAATTTGAGTTCCTGCATAATTATAGCTCTTAGAATCACTAATATTGTTATTTTCAGCTATAAATTACTTTATTTTTTAATACATTTGCTGCAGAAATGATGTTATTTCCTTCTTAAGTGGCTTTGCTGGTCCGGATTTATTGAACACTATGGATGTTCTACTTTTGTATCTTCAGAATTCTTCTCTCCATCAAAAACCCCTTGTTGCTGTTCTTCTGTTGCACCTTGATTTACTGGTAAGTGCCAATACTCTTGAAAGCCTTATTCTGGTTTCCCCATCACATTCATTCAATGTCATTTTTCTTGTACTGTCAGAAACAATCTTGACTGTTCTGACATGAAAAGCATAAATGGATTGGGCAACATAAAAATCCTAGCGCATTCAATGTAGGTATCTTGGGAACGAGTGTCCTAATCTCTCACAATTTCTTAAATGATATAAGCTAGATATCGGAAAGTAATGACCTTTCTAATTAATTACTTGCATCAACTACGAGCATGTTGGAATTGCCGGTAGCTTAGAGAAAAGCATGGTGCAAACTTCAAAAGCCACGGTGGACACTATTTTTTATAATTTCTCTCGTTTGGATTGGCGTTTTTCGATATTGACCTATGCCAAAAGTAACTTTTTTTTTTTCAACGCCATTTTTGGTTGCCTTTTTATCACACCGCTCCTGGCGTCTCATCCCCCATTCTGTTTTTCTTATTTGTTCTTCCATTTTTGTCCTTACTCCTCAACCCTCATGCTTCTTTGTTGTCTTGCCTACGTCCTGTGTCCTATTAGTACAGACGTAGTTTTGGGATAATATTATTTATATATATAGTTATTCATTTTAAACGTTGTTATATTATTTTATTTCCTTAAATTACTTATTTTATATAATTTTTATTAAAATAATTTCTTTAGTATTTATAATTTTTCCAACAAATATTTATTATTTTATTTGTCTAATTTTAATTTTAATACTTTTTAGAATTATTACGTTATATATGTATAACATTTTTATTTTATATTTATAATTTTATTTATTTTTTAACTATTATCACATTAAAAATATATAATATAAAACATTACGATTCAGTAAAATAGTAATATTTATGTTTTGTCCAAACTTACTTTTCTATTAATCATCTAAATAGGTTTTAACTTTTTAAACTGATTTTTTATAAATATCAATCCAAATATAAATCACATTACACTAACTGACTTTTACTCCAACTCATATTTGCAAAAGTCAGATGGAATAAAAGTCAGTTTTTCAACCGCTAATCCAAACACACCCTAAATGACATGCAAGTAGACTTGACGTGCAAGAAAGCAATATCATCAAGCAACTGAGTTTGCAAAATTAAAGATGAAAATTACACATTGACGGCTAAAAGAGAAGTTATTCAATAAAAGTTATCGCTAAAATTTGGTGTCTTTCCATTATGTCCTCTTTCCAACCTGTGATGTATGAAATCTGATCTCTGTAATTGGCTAGGACAACTTCTATCTGAAGACTCAGCCTCCAATGCATTGCGTATACAGAGAGGAGGCTGTGAATGCCATTGCAGTTGCTCTTGATGCCAGCTTATATGATGACAAGGTTCAAGAAAAGTGTTGCAGGGCACTGCTTATTTTGAAAGGACTTTTTGCTTTCAAAGGAAAGAAACAAGCCAAGGCTAACATTTTAAAGCAAAATGAAGATGAAAATGACAGTTCAGCAGTCAATTCTTGTGAGCATGAAGAAGAGGGCATAATATCATTGGTGTGTTTGCTTTCCAAAGTTATCTGCTTGTCTCTCATGGCCTTTTCCCCAATTATATTAACAATATAAGTAACTATTGCAATGACTCGCGGAGGTTTTTGTATTATGCATGTAATAATGAGTGCTAATGTCACAATTATGTGATTTATTTCTTTTCATAATTAACATGAATTTTTAACCTTCCAGTTTGCATTTATTGCTACAATTTTTGTTTCAATCTTATAATGCTTACCTCAGCGTCTAGATAGCTAAATTTCGTTATGCACTCCTTCAGCTATTGCAGTTGTATGCTTGTTTCATTGACCAAATGAAACTAGCACTCAAGCTTCCAGAAATATTGATTCTTATGCAGAACATTTTAGCACTGTCATTGGAATCTTTTTTGCTTGCACAATTCACATGATGTAACTTGGCTGATATTTTAAATGAAACTGTAGGAAGATGAAGAAGAAAAGAACCAAGAGTGGCTGATGAAGTTGTTAGAATTGTTGATTGGTGATGGAGAAAGCCCATTTTTGAAGAACATTTCAAGATGTTTAGCCTCTAGATACCTTGATTTGGTGAAGATATGCTTATTAACAGTCACATGGCTTAGTTCCAGACTTTCTGTACTAAGTAATTCTGGTTCACCCCTTCCTGCATTCCCAGCCATCATCTATCAGATGAAAGGAATACTGCAGAGTGGGGATCTTGAGTTCAAGACTCTTGCGTCTTTGTCCTTGTTTCATTTCAGTAAGATACCAGGTTTGTGAACATTTTCTTCTCTTTATTAACTTCTTAAAATTTTGGCCAATTTCAGAACTACTGCAAACAAGTACAATATTAGCTGTGAAAGAGAGAGAACTTTAACCCATTGGGCATCAAAATTTTTAAATTAATGGCTCTAAAACACCTGGAATCATAAAATCCAAGCTAAAAGAAAATTGCAAAATATGCATTAAGAATTATTAGATTATGAAGATTTTCAGGGTTCTAGTTTCTCTGAATTATTTTTCTATATGGAGGAAAGACACACAAGTAAATGAAGGGAAGATACACGATAAGATAGAAAACAACCTATATGTGAGATGCATGCCAAGATAGAATAGTAAGGATAGCGTAAACTAGCTAATTAATGTCAGAAAAAGATCACAACAGAAACCCCATTATTTCCCACACGCTTCCTTAGGTTGGGAAGTGAATATTAATAATGCTTAGCTTGATCTCAGTTCCTCAAACTTGATCTTTGGCTGGTAGGCCCGGAGGTATTATTTCACTAAAGTGGTGACCCCATCCCTTGTGTTTGGAGGTTGTGATATTCCTATTTAATATTCTTTTCTGGTTAATCGAGTTATGTTGTGAACATTTTAAGGGATATCAACAAGCCATATTGATAATAATGGTAAAGATAAATGCTTTTTTAAAATTAATGCATACATCATTTATGCACAGTTTCATTATCTACACAATTTCTATTCTGTAGTCTAATACCTTAAATCCGGAATGTTGCAGAAAGCAGAGCCCTTATGATGACTATGGCAGAAGATATTGCTACTCCTCTTCATAGAATTGTTGATGTAACATGGAGTGCAAAGCAGCTTCTTATCATGTTAGGGAAGGATTTGTAATATTTAAGGAAATAATTGGCGTATGCCATTCTGCCTGTTTTCAGGGATCCAGTTTTGGTGCTCTCAAATTTTTCTTTTAACTTATGTAGGCTGAATTCGACAGGACCTGGCATAATCCATCTCCAAAGTAAGTTGTTTGCCTGGAAATGCGTTACATTAATTATTGATATATATATATATATATATATCTCTGTATATTTCGAGTTATGATGTGATATTTGTCTGTATATTTTTATATTTAGAAGAACAACTGCAATATAATAAAGTAGGATTCAACTAGTTTTACACTGGCCTTTCAACATTTACAACTAGCTAGAAGTTTTCAACCCGTGTTTTAAGTGAAATGAGGAGTATAATTTCATAGAAAGAATACAGAGTCAGCATTTGGTTTACGAAATTGACACTAGGCTGCAAATCAGCTATACATAGGAGAAAACAAAAGCTAAAGAACCTAGCAAAGTAATGGTTTTAGGGAGTGTTTGGATGAAACCAAACTATGATTTGGATAATAACTTCTGGAGAATAGATTATGGGGAGAATAGATTTTGTGAAGAATAGATTTTGTGAAAAAGTGATTCTAAGAAATGAGAGTGTTTGAATAGTTGTTATCAGAAACACTTTTTATATATACAAATTACTAAAAAAGACATAAGTTAATATGATAATTACATAAAAGATAGATTTTATGATATATTTTAATTTGAAAAAATAAAATTGTTAATAATATTTTTTACCAACATAATTAATAATATATATTAATTAATTGTTAATATGTGTATTAATTAATTGCTAATAATTTTACATATATTTATAATTAGTTTTATACTGGCCTTTCAACATTTACGGCTAGAAGTTTTCAACCCGTGTTTTGAGTGAAATTAGGAGTATAATTTCATAGAAAGAATACAGAGTCAGCATTTGGTTTACGAAATTGACACTAGGCTGCAAATCAGCTATACATAGGAGAAAACAAAAGCTAAAGAAACTAGCAAGGTAATAGCTTTAGTTTCATAGAAAAATTTTAATTTATGATGATAGATGTGCTAATGCTAAGACTTGGTTCACTTCCTTGCACCGTGAAAGAGGAAGCATTAGCAAACAGCCGTTTGTCTCTAGCATTCCAAAATTTTCCAACAAAGTAAACCCAAAATAGTTCTCCAAGCTTGATTCCTGTGGCATGGGTTCAGATTGGCGGTTAAACATCTCTTGAAGCATGGTAAAGAACTTCATTCTATATTCCTCACGACGTACATATCAGCTGCCCGCTGGAGGAAGCAAGAGGCTAATCCCACATGAACAGAGGAAGGAGTGCATTAGTGGGAAACAATTAATGTTAACAGTCAATATTAACTTTTTAACAGTAGGACAAAATTATTACGATTTTAAACTTGACAAATTTGCACGTTAACTTTTAAAAAAATATCCAATATCTTTAACATCATACAAAACAGATTCATTTTGTAATCAACATTCCATATCATTTTCTATCATTCCATTCCACTCCTTATTATTTTATGAACTAAACCGGCCAAGTTTACCAATTATATTTTCACATTTCACTTTCAGCATATACAACTAAAACATATTTATGCATGTTAGCTTTTAGTTTTTACAAGTCACTAAGCTAGCTCATTGATAGGTTTAGTTTACTATATATACAAAAGTTTTTACAAGTCACTAAGCTAGTTCATTGGTAGGTTTTGTTTAATATATAAACAAAAGACAATGATAGTTTTTATACAAAATAATAAAGAGTTTTTCACTCTATGATATGAAAAGAATAGTTTTATGATTTAACTGTTAAATATATTTCCCTATGAATTCATTCTTCTAGGCATAAAGGTATACTGTTCTTGTTTATTATAGTTTTTCAAATTCAAAAAAAATACGTTTTTGGGAAAATCATTCTTAAAATTTTTTTTAAGATGTTCAATTTTTTTAAATATAAATAAAAATTATATTTCTAACAATTTTTATAATTTAACTTGATTAAATTATTAACAATAATTAAATGTACTATATGCAAAAAATAAAAAGAAAGAATATACATGGAAATATTATAAAATATGAAAACTAGTAAATACTCAATCAATTTTAGGATAATAAAATAGTTTTATTTGTTTATAAAATTTTAAATAATAAATTACTTTCCATAAAATTTCTTTTTTTTGGTTTTTTTTTTTTTTTTTTTTGGTTGTTTAAGCAGCCATCGTCTTCACCATCGCGAAGCCAGGTCCAAGTGTGGAGTTTCTTGATACAGAAGAACATCGGTAAGGTCATCGTTTTGGTTTACTTTTGCTTTGTTTTCCTGTTTTCATCGCATTCTTTCTGTTGATAACGTTGATTGTGTATTTTGCTTCTAAATTGTGGGAAGACAAATGTGCGATGATTATTTTCTGTTTCTAGTTATGGTGAAAGCTTTCTGATTCTGCTACCTTATGTTCGCTTTGAGGGTAAGGCGTTCATTTTATCGATCTGATTAACAGAGGATGAGACGACGCGCTTAACATTTAGAGCAACCTCGGTTGACTATTTTTTCTCATAAGATGTGGGCATTTTATATTTGAGGTCCGTTTGCTGGAGAAGGAGCCAAGTACTCGACTTTTAAGGCTTCAGTTATGCGTGTTTTGGTTCAACTGAGTAATCATTTTATAAACCATAGGCCTTCTTGCTTGGAGAAATCTTCTACGGAATTTCATTCTCCTAGTATGTCAATATTTTGGTGTTCTGTTTTCCTTTGTGTTAACCTTATGATACGTACGAAAATCCAAGTAAAATTGAGTTTATTCTTATCCGGAAGTTCAAGGGTTGAAGTCTTTTTAGTTCTGTTGCGGGCATTAGAGTTTTTGGGCCCAGTATCCCAACTCCCTCACAGCCAATAATTTGATTGATAAGTTTTAGTAACTTAGTGGTGGAGCCATTTCTTTCCTTCAGTGTTCTCCTTTTATGTTTCTTTCGCTTATTTTACTAAAGCTTCAGTCCACAACAGCAAACCATTCCATTAGTGCATGCCGAATGGCAACCGTGAGGTGACCCTGTTCTATTTTTTTCATTTTGATTTCTCCATTCTTGCATCAACTGATTATATCTCCGAACCAGCCTCTGTACTGTTTTTCATTGAAGGCATTTAGACTCTTTGGGAGATATTTCTGTGCTCAGGGCTGCCAGTGTGTTGAAAAATGGTGCTTTGGAGTTATATTGGGTGGGTGATATAGCTGTTGATTGTTAGCTTAATGTCTATCATTTTTTATTTGAAGGGTGAAAAGGGAAATATATTTTAATCTAAATTTAAAGCTAAGTTTTGAATAAGACCTTAGTTGTTGAGTGTTGAGTATTCCATGGCATGCTCTTGTGGTAAAAGCCTCTTGGATTTGGTGGTCCACGGACAAGATTTATGGAGGAAGATGGGTGTAGTGTAAATTTCAATAAAACACAAGCTTCAATGATTTCTAATTATTTCTGTGGGAGCTAGGTGAATTTTAAATCTTGGGGGAAGTCTTTCTTGTATTGTAACACCTTTGTAGAGTGAATTTGCGCTCTACTTATTGTGTCAAGAACAATCCCTTTTTCCATATTGATGCATTGGGAAGTGTTAAGAATTTGAACTTGGGATCTCTACAAATCCATACTCATCTAGCCACTTGATTCGAGCTCTAGCAATAAAAGACATTCCTGCTGACATCTGATTTTGACAAGCTACTGTTAGATCCCATTTTTCCCCCCAAGAATCATCTCTTACTTCTGAGTTACTAGCAACAAAATCAAGGCCATTAAGCTTGTGATTTGAGCCTTTGAGGATGTGAAATTTCTTGCTTTAAGCTAGACCTATGAGAAAATTTAAGTGAGTTGACATGAACTTTATTGCTAGAGTCCCTTGAACTCGTGTAAATTGTAAGAGCAATGATAAATCAATGTTCACCCTGGGGCTGAGGTTGAATTGAGCAGCAAGAATAAAAGACGATGTCATTGGCTTCCTTTCTCAACCAATAAATAATTCGTAAATCAATGTTCATTTTTGCTTTTTCTTTGCTTGATACAGAAGCTTGTGCTGAGCTGACTAGTTGCAGAGGCAGAAGACGCAAACATGGAGGGAGTGCCAAAGAACATCACACACCAAATTGGAGGGCTCCAAAATGACACCCTTCGTTCTGGACTTCAGGGCATCAAGAGTGACATCATTGGATCTCATCCCCTTGAATCCGCTCAAAAATCCGTAATCATTTTCTCTTCTCTTACTCTGGAATTCTTTGATGGGATGCTGTGTTGGAAGTTCCGATTATCAGTTTGCTGGGGTTTTGTAGCTGTATCACCTGGGTCACAGCTGGATTTTCATATGACCCACTTTTTCCCCTTTTATCTGGGCTTTTGCTGGTTCAATATAATTTGAATGTCGTTGATTTGTTCCCTATTGAGATTTTCTCTGCAAATAGGCTTTCTATTGTTGCAACTTACTTCAATCATTGTTATGAAGAACTTGGTGGTTTGAAAAGTTGGAAATTTCTGATTATTATTAACCATTGGGGTTGAAATAGACCACAAAGTGTAGTAATGTCAATTGTGCTTGCCTGTTTTTTCTGATGGAAATTGTAGAAGTCTTGGTATTGATCATGGTTTACTCTCTAATAAAGTTTCTACGCTGTGTTATTTTTAGGTAAGGCGAACACAGGAAACAATGAAGAGGAAGTGCATTATCAATACATATGGGTCTGCTTTTCCACTGAAGATGGACCTGGACAGGCAAATACTTTCTAGGTACGATATTGATGGTGTCTTTTGAACTTGTTGTAGCGTGTATCTGAAGCAATTAGTTTCTTCTGAATTTTTTTTTTTTTTTTTTGGAACTGATAGCTGGCAAGGGCAAGGATATGTTGTCTAGTCGGTCCTTGTAGGCCCCTCTCCATGGCCCCACTATTTTTGTTTTAGTGGTACGAACCTGATTAAGTTTGTTCAGTTGAAACTGTAGCTTCTTCCCATCCTTAATCTATTTTTGATTTACTGGTGTTTGTGAACTTGATCGTGCCTAACTCTGTGCCCTTTCAAACCCCTGCTGTTTCTGTGAGGCAAACATAAACTCGAGGCAATAAGAAACCACATGGTATAGGGCAATAAGACATGATACAAAAATTTATACGACAACTTGTTTATATTCTTATAAAGCAATGATTAACATGTGAAGAATATCAAACCTATGGCATTGTGGGTTAATAATGTTCTGTTCTTTGGTGCATGTGGAAGAGAGCCTTATTATATAAGGTTGATTCACATTAATCAGAATGGTGAGTTAAATGGGATTTCAAGTCAATTAAGTTTACGTGACTTAAATTAATCTACATTACAAAATACAAACTCTCGTGAACAAATACTTTCCAGTTTTTCTGAATGCATCCTCTGCCAATAATATACTGATATAGAAATATTTTGAAGTGTCAAATTGCATCTTGGGATAGTTATTCGATGTTTCCCATAGCAGGTCTTTAATCTGTATTTTTCCAATGATGCTGTATCTTTTCTTGAAAATATAGATTCTTCTGAAATGTATCCATATGCTCATGTGACCCTTGTTTGGACAGCTAATTTAAATTGAATTTTCTTCTAATGTGAAATATGTGTTGTTCTATTGCCTGTCTTTGGAATGTTATGTCTAACCCTGAATTTTCCGCTAAAACATATGTATGTTGTATGTGATTTATAATTTGACAGGTTTTTATTTAATATCATCTCATTCTCCGCATCAAATTAAAGATTAAAAGAAGGAATCCTGCCAAATTGTACTCTTCTATTCTTAAAACAAGATACTGAAATTGGATACAAAAGCATGTGTCCTAATTCCAGAAGCATCGAGAATTAGAGAACGTGAATATTCTTTTAGCGTGGTTAGAGAAGGAATTGTGGCTTTTGAGTTCTGATAAATTCATTTTTATGGCTATTGTGGATTCATACTGTCTGCAATTTGCCATTGTAAGAAGTGGTGAAACCATATGAGCTGATATAGGGCCTTGTCTTTGCACTAAGTCCTACAGGCCCACACATGACCTAATTCTTGGCCAGTGAGATGCGTCCTGGCATGGCAGTTAAGATATTTCTGCCTTGAAACTTCCATGGTCTGGCAGCCTTAGCCTGGCAGAACTGTTGACTTCTGCCCGTGGGTGGGGCAGTAGCCAGTAATGTTACCATATTGTCTGAGTTGAAAGCTTTGCATATTTCACCTTCTTTGTTCTCGAAGTAAGCACTGCGCTTGTGAGTTTAAGGTATATAAGGGTCATTTGTCTTTATCTGAATGAAAAGAAAAACGCTAAACCGTAGAAAACAAGCGTTGGTTGCTCTGCAAAGAAAGATTAAGTGGGTTGGAATTAATTCTCGCGTGATTTTTTTATGCTGTACTTGTCTTGGCTATTTGCCGTGATTTGTCATCCTTACACCAGTTCCTCGTATGGGCTCCATCTTATTAGTGGCTTTTGTCTGCATATTTTATGTGCTTATTGCTACTGTCCCTCGTAGATTCCAGAGACCTCCAGGAGCTATTCCATCTTCGGTGCTGGGTTTAGAAGCTTATACCGGAACTCTTGATCACATTTGTTTTGAGGATTATCTTAATGGTAATAATATAATCAGCCCACATCTTTTTTGTTTCGTTTGCTTGTAGTTTATTTACTTATTGAAGTTTCCAAGTTTCTCGACCCTCTGAATAAAGGATTGTCTACATTTCAACGCTATGGGTAAATAAGAGATGAGAAAGACTGTGAGGATTGAAAATGTTACTGTGGCATTCTAGATTGTTAGGCAATTCTTCATTTGTCACTTTTTCCCCCTTTTGTTTTTGGAAACAAAACATCTAAAGTGCAGTCTTTCCCTTAGAACTAAATGATTACTAAAATATTAGGACAGTGATATATTGCTCTCCATTCTAATCACAGCACTGTTTTTCCCTGTCTCCCCCATTCTCAGTTTCATTTTTGTTGCCTGCAGATCCCCGAGAATCTGAATCTTTCCGGCCACCGGACATGCATCATGGAATGGAAGTTCGCCTTGGTCTTTCCGAGGGGCCAGTCTGCCCAGGCTTCATATAATGAGTGCATCCGAATATTCATTACAATGAGAGGGATGGAGCTAGCAGCATGTTTCATTAGGGTTCTATTTACCAATGTTAAGGATGTTTGGGATGCATGGTTAATGGAAACACAGCATTTATAATCAAAGCTACAGGCTCTTTTGTTGTTTGTGATGTATTTATAGGTTCCAAACAATTGGCATTTAATGCTCGGGCTCTATTTCTGACCCTTTTCCAGCGTCTACTTTTCAAGCATGCTATGCCTTTTGGTGACACTAGAATTTGTAGTGTTCAAGCTGAAAGCGAAATCTAGCTGACAAAGGTGCCAACTTTAAGCTGGATTTGTTGCCGTGGCTTTTGGGACTCGCTACAATTTTCCCTTGTCATGAGGGACGATAAATGGTTGGGGTTGGAATGATCCTCACAACTTCCTTACTGTTCCTTATTTCCTCATGTAATAGATATACCCCACTTATTGCAGGACAATTTCTAGAAGAAATGAGTGGTTCTTATTATAAGTCATCAATGTATTAATTATTATACTTAATATAAAAACTATTTAAGTTATTTGGATCGATTAAAGAAGCCAAATAATTAGTTAATTATAACAAATTTGATATGATTTTTTCTAAGGAAAATTCGAGAAAAATACCCATTAAGAAATTAATTAGCAAATGGAATCTAAAGAACTTGTACAAGTGAACTTTTATTGTGTGCAAGTGATCTTCTGTGTTTAAGCAACTGATCTTCCATGTGTGCGCAACTGATTTTCTTTTTGTGTAACTGATCTTTCTAGGTTCCATTTGCTAATTAATTTTTCAATGGGGTATTTATCCCCAATTTTTGCTTTTTCTTTTAAAATATCCTGTGTAATATTAATTAATATATCAATTTATAAGTCAAGTAAATTAGTTTGTCAAAAAATAATAAATATGAGAAATAACTAGTTTTTATATTTATGATAAGAGAAAGGATATTTTTTTAATAACTAGTTTTTATATTTAGGATAAAAGGAAGTATATTTTTTTAAGGTTGCCCCAAATTAAAATTTGATACATTCTTCTTCTTCTTGTTTTTTTTGGCCTTTCAACATGTAATCAATAGTTTTGAATGTGGGTAAATTTAAAAATTTTCATATTTTCAAACAAATTTAACAACTTATATGCGAATTACCTTTCCTTCTGCAAAGCACCTTCGAGTAGAGTGGCGTCTTAGTCCAAATTACTTACCATTATGAGCGAATCTGCCAAAAAGAAGGGAAGTTAATTTGCACCTTAATTTCTTCACCTTCCCCATCGTCCTTTTCTTGAACCAGTTTCTATCTTGACTCCATTTTATAATTCATAATCCCAATTTTCGTATTGATATTATTTGTTTTTTTTTCTTGTACCCTTATCAGATTATTGTTCAAGTAGTAACAAATATTAAAGAAATTGTTTTCCAAACATAAAAAAAATAATTTGACAACTTAGAGACACGATATATGACTCACCACTTTCATCTACCATCTAACCTTGTTAGGTCGCCCGTATCAACCCATAGTGGACCTTTCTGTTTTCTAAAATTATAGGAGTTAAAGAAAAATATATTGATCATATTGAATGTAAAATTAATGGATTCCTCATAAATATATGACAAACCGATCAATATTATTTGCTTTGAAAAATCATATTCAGAACAACTTGATTTCTTGTGCATAGAAAAGCAACTTCTGGATTAACCATAAGAGAAAATTAGGGATAAATCTCTCATTAAAAATTTAATTGGAAAATGGAACCTAAGATGATTGATTGCATAAGGAAAGATTAGTTGCATACAAATGATGATAAGTTACATAAATGGAAGATAGTTTGCACAAACATTATTTGGATATAAGAAATTAGTTTGCATATAAAGAAGATGATTTGCACATAAGAAAATTTTATTTGCGCAAAGAGAAATTGAGTTGCACATCACACAAAGAAAGATCATTGCATACAAAGAAAGATACATTGCACACAAGGAAAGATAAGTTGCATATAAAAGAAATTAAGTTGCACAAAATTCTTTGGTCCTATTTGCCAATTAAATTTTTAATAGGGGATTTATCCCCAATTTTTCCTAACTATAATAGGTAATTAAATTCACAAAATTGTCACACATAGTTTGAATTAACCATTCCTTGTTCTGTGAGATTTTGTTTTAATCTTGAGCCCCCAAAATCTCAACTCATAAACTTTTCTTGAACCAAAAGAAATGTTGATTGCCCACTATCAAGCATGTTAGTTGGCTGATGAGATCTTATAATATACTCCTCCGATCCTAATTATAAGACCCAATTGACTTATTTGAGGAGATTAAGGAAGTAAGTTAAGTTGGTTATTTATAATAAATAAGTGTTGTTATTCCTAAAATATCCTTGCTAATTAAGTATATTGGCTAAAACTATCATTATTAGAAGGATTATCTTGGAAAAAAATGCATAAATATAAGAGAGAAAATGGATTGGGTCTTATAATTAAGACCAAATAAAAAGTCAAATTTAGTCTTATAATAAGGACCGGAGGAGTAATTAGAAGGACTTAAATCTTGAACCTCTATTCATATATCCTATTCTATTCTTGATATTGGACAATGCCGTGAGATTGGATTGAACTGGGTAGTTCAAGAAGTAGGACTATACAAAATACTACCAGGACAAGCCAAAAAGTGAACGGGTAGAAAATTGGTTAAACCCATTAAAACTGATAAAAATTAGTGGGAAAACAATCTTGAATTGGTTTTTTATTTTTTTAAAAAAATTCAATAATTCAAAACTATTTTTTTGTGCTTTTTATTTATCTTTTGACTATTTTTTCAGAGTTTTATGTGAGAGAGAGAGAGAGAGATTTATTAGTAGTTTTGGTTCATTATAGAAGCTTGGCACGTTTAGTTGAACAATTAATCTGACATATTAAACGATTTTGGCGATTTAGAATAAACAACAAATACCTTTAATATAATCTTAATGTAAACTAGATTTGAACAAATATTGTTAATTTTGCCCCAAAATAGAAACCTTAAACCCGTACTCTAGTCTCCCAATCCAATTCTAAGAACATTGCTATTGGAGGCCTAGAGCTGGTATGAGGTGGCTCAGAACATTTTTGCTTTTTTGAGCAAAAGCTCCGAACATTTTAATTAATCTTCTTTGAATGTAACTTCTATTAACGAAAGAGCAACAAACATAAGCCCCAGAAAAATGAATTCCTTCTGAATAATAACCCATTAATTATACACTACTTCTAGTTCAAAATATAAGCATTAAATGATTATATTACCCAATTCAAGAAGTTGGTTAAAAAAATTGGTTAAAGACAATAAATAGGTTAAAAAAAATACAACTTATTTTCCTAGATTGCCTTATTTACATGAAGGGTAAATGGGAGGGAGAATGAGCAGGGAAAAAAAGAGAGAAACATATAGTCAATTAGAAGTAAAAATCAAAAAGAAAAAAGAAGAAGAAGAAGAAATGCATTAAATGATTATACAAATCCAAATTAATGCTTATAAAAAAATAAAAACAAACTTTGCTCAAAAAAAAAAAAACAAACCTCTTCAAAAATTTGATGCTGACAATTCAATAATTAATTAGTCTTTGCAGAATATCTATATGTGTATATATATGACCTGATTAATGCAGATATGCACAATTAATATTTGTCTATCTCCCAGCCAGAGAAAAAAAAATTGTCTATCTCCCTCCCCTCACCCCATTAAATATAAAGCCTCTTAACCTTTTCACATATATAAAGCATAGCCATAAAGTTCCAACTCCTCAAACATCATCATCTTCTGTTTCTGAAGCATCATCAATGGCGAACCAAACTTATCAGACTCTTCTCTCTCTTCTTGTCTTGCTTAGTCTCTCTGCCATTTTCACTGGTAATACTGAAAATATATCCCAAAAGCGTCAGTTATATATATATATATATATATATATATATATTCACATGAGCATGTTATTGATTATGTGGTTTTATTTGCCTGAATTTATGTTGCAGTGATCGAAGGATCAGAGAAAAAGCTGTTTGTTTTTGGAGATTCCTATGTGGACACCGGCAATTTCTTAAACTCTCCGTCATTCAAGCCTCCCTACGGCGTCACTTTTCCCGGTACACCGGCCGGCAGGTTCTGTGATGGTCGTGTTCTCTCTGATTATTTAGGTAATTTAATTTTCTTTTCTGAAAATTTGAAATTAAACACTCCATCTCCCTCATCTATCTACAAAAAAATTTAGAAGAAAATTTTATATTTTTTTACAATTGTTTTTTGTATACCTTTTTAACAAGACCTTAATTTTAAATATAAGAAATATAAGATCTCAATTAAGGAGGTTTTTCATTACTTTCCAATACAAACTATTAAAAGTGTATTTAAAAAAATCAAGTCATAATTTTTATAAATAATTATCCAAATTTAACTAATCTTTAATATCTGCAAATCATAATCTAGTTTTTACATTTAGAATTAGAGGAAGTAATTTAAACTTGAGATGCATCAAACTCTTCTCAATCCAAAAATTTCACTCATATAATTTTGTACTCAGTTTCATAAAAACAAATATCAAATCCCCTATTCTCTCTTCTTCCTCCTTTTCTAGTTTAAAAAAAAAATCTCTGTTTTCACGAATCAACTAAACTGGTAGCAGTTTTATTTTCTTCACCAAACGATCTTATCAAACTAGATATGTAAGGAGGGAAACGGGTTTCATTTCACGGGTGATGGACATGAATTTATTACTTCATTGATTGCTTTGGCTATCTGAAGGACAAAAGCTTTAATTGTCTTGTACTGTTTTCCTCAATTAATTTGACTGGTTGGCCGTTGTTTGACTTCTTAATTATTTAAACAAAATAAAGTATACGTTCCACTCTTTTTTCTTCTTCTTTGCCAATCAATGCTTTACAGTTATTATGTTTAAATCACATCCAAACTTTTTTTTTGTGAAATAAAAATAAGTATATAACTTTCTATCAACATTTTTATTGAATTTATATAAATCTTTGCTCTATCTCTATTTTAAAGATATGCACAATCTTTCTCCGAAGATAGAAAAGAAGACCAATGCACGCAAAATTTTGTTTATATTCTTAAAATAAAACGAATAACCTCTATAAAATTAACAAGCATTAATGGATTTACATGTAGTTTATTTTAAGTTTTCTTAAAAAAATGTATTTGTAAGTTTTGAAAATAGATCAAACTAAATCAATATGTGTGAAAGGCATGGAATTTTTTGGACGAAAAGTGAAGCCAGACAAGTTGAAATAACAAGGAAAATATAGCATTCATATTTGGTTTGCATATATATTAGAAAGATAATTATAATCTTTTCAGAAAATTTTGTGTTATTATCCCTTTCACACACACAAAAAATGAACTCGTCTCTATGTTTGCTTTCAAACAAGCAAAGTCTGCATAATTTTACAAAAATTATAATTTTTATTATTTTCAACGTCAAACTAAACATATATGCTCATATTGTTTTTAACCAATCATGCATCACCCGTGCTTCTTCATATTCATGTGTATATACATACCTAGGCACGCACGTATATATGGATGTATATGTGTGGCTTCAAGGAACTTCGTTTATGAACACATCACCAGCAATAGAAGTCAAAGTCAAACTTTTACTACCTTTGGTCCTAAATAGAAGAGCTGATTGACAATCTTAAATATATAATCCCAATCCATTTTGTCTCCTAATTTTACAATGTATTCTCAATAATATTCCTATTGATTGTAAAATATTTCCACCCAAGTTTAATTCTATTGTACATAATTGAATAAGGGTAATTTAAAAAGTCATTACACTTTTTGTTACAAATATGTAATTTAATTAATTTTTTTAATCTTTCTAAATTAATTGTTCAGCTCTTATATTAAGAATCGAAAGCCATGTTTTATTTGAAACATTCATGACAAATAATAGTACGTGTGCATGTATGTATTTATGAATGTATGTGTATGGCTTCAAGCAGCTTCGTATATGAACATAACATCACCAGTGCCATATGAACAAAGGAAGTCTGTGAACCAATCAGTGATAGGAAATGGGATGAACTTTGGTCATGGAGGGACTGGTGTGTTTCAGACAATGGTGGATGGACCAAACGTCACCACCCAAATTGACTTGTTCCAACAGTTACTTCAACAAAATGTGTTCACCAAACAAGACCTTCAATCCTCCATTGCTCTTGTCAATGCTGCTTCCAATGATTATGACACTTTCTTAGTCAAAAATGGATCCACCAAGGTGAGTATTGGTTTAAGTGATTTCTATATTTACCTTTTTTTTTTCCCCATGTTTTAGGGTAAATCATTTGGGTGAGGTAAATTAGACAGATAGTAACATGAAATCTTTTGAAAAGATAACTACTGTAGGGAGGACTTTTTACATCAGTTAGCCATAGAGAGCTTTTCATGTCAGTTATAAGATACTACTTCTAATCCTTAATAAAAGACCTCGTTTAACTTTTATTTTAGTTTTAATTATAAGACCTCGATCCACTTTGTCTCTCATATTTATGCGTTTTTTTCCTAAGGTAGTCCCTCTAATAATAGTAGTTCTAGCTAATAAAATTTAATTAGTAAGGATATTTTAGGAAAGACAACATATATTTATTACAAATAACTAACTTAACTTATTTCTTTAATCTCCTCAAATTAGTCAACTAGCTCTTATAATTAGGATCGATCGAAGGTAGTAGTGCTACTCCCACTCATTAATTTAAGTAAATTAAGAAAATTTGTTAAATTTGTTATTTATAACAAATATAAATTAAATTTTCTAGAATACTCTTGTTAATCATACGTATTAGTTAGACTTGTTATTATTGTTGTATGATAAATCATCTAATATCATTGGCGGGTTGGCTCCCTATTGGGAAGAAGATTTTTCCCAACATCATTGGCTATCCGTTAATTCAGATTCCAGGTGGGTTCGACCTCTATTAAGAGAAAGCTTTTTAACATGATTATTCACGAGACCTGAAAATATTGAGCTTCTTGATTGAAAATATTGTATTGTATTTTTTTTTGAGAAAAAGACAAAATGATATTAAATAATACTCCTCCGGTTCTTAATATAGGACCCAATTATTGAGTTAGTTTTGGTCCTAAATATAAAACTCATTTATCATATTTATCATTTTTCTAAATTACCCATATGAATACTCTCTCAACCATAATCAAGTAGAAGAGGGAAAGGAGGTATTAAGAAAGATGATTATAGTGTTTTAGGAAAAATGTATCATATTTCTTATAATTAACTAACTTACGTAACTTTCTTGATCTAATTAAATTAGTTAAATGGATTTTATATTAAGGACCGAAGGAGTATAGTTTACAAGTTTAGTCAGTGAAGTCAAATAAGATCCTAAAAAATCGTTTGAAAAAAACTGATGTCGTATTGTAAATATCGTATTGTTTGAGTTTGATTTATAGTTTGTTAAGCTACTTGTGTTTCTCACTGTTAACGCCGTTTTGTTGATAGTTGATTTGCTACACATAATATTTTATTTTGTCTGAGTTTGATAGGTAGTTAAGCTACTTAGAGTGAAGAAGAATAAATAACTTTTATATACCTTCTGATCTTTTCTAAAGTAGAGGTACAAATTATGGAGATCTTTTGATAAATTTTATTAAAATCACATTTTTTTAAAATAATAAAACATACATATATCTTTTAAAGAAAAAAAAATAACACCGATATCTCTTAATAGAATTGCACATTCACTTTTTATTTTGGTTCTTGAAGATAAAAAAGTATACTACACAAATGTTCTATATGTGTATACGAGTGTTGTTGAAATTACACGAATTTTACCTATATCAGTATCTATATTTAATATGATAGAATCTGATGCATGTTTTTGTTATTCATAAGCTATGAAAGTTTAGCTATTGCATTAGATTTATGCAAAGCATAGGAAAAAATGCTTAACCTTTACCCAAAAAAAAAAAAAAGAGTTTTTTGTTTTAAAATTTTAAAAGTATGAGAAAATATATGTAATCTGCTTACAATAAAGTTTCTATTGGAAATTAAGTTTGAAAAAATTAACTTGTGATAATGCATTGGATTCCTGCAATTTCCCTTTTTACAGAGTGCTCAAGTGCAACTTACTAAGAACTCAATCAAAAACTCAAACTATTTATTGGCAAGACATAGTTATACCTGAGTTCGATAATACTCGAATCATCTCATCCATTAGTATCAGATATTAGATATTGCATTAAGAGGGAAAAAAAACTCTAAATTATGCATTTTCCTGTTCCAGGATTTACCAGCCTTTGCTGAGTCACTTGTGAATCAAATTTCAGTGAATCTGGAAAGAATTCACAGTCTGGGAGTGAACAAAATAGCAGTAGGGTTAGTGGCACCTTTGGGATGTTTGCCACTTGAATCAGTGACTTCTTCATATCAGAATTGCAGTGATGAAGCAAACACACTGGCAAATTATCACAACAATCTACTTGTTCAGAAAGTAAAAGACCTGAACAGGAATCAATCATCAGCTTCAGGAAAACCTGTTTTCATAACTCTAGATCTCTATAGTGCCTTCCTCAACACTATTACTACCTTGCAGAAAAAACGTGCTGGTCTGTTCTCCAACTTTCTCTGTTCTTTAATTCTCACGATTTATTTTGATTAGTAGTATGTTGTATCTATATATAAGTAATTGTCGTTATCTGTTTCTGAAAATGAAGGGAAAAAATTGAAGAGCCAGTTTGCCTTCACTTTGGGGGGGAAAAAAATGGCAATTTTATAATGAAGCTTCTACCTCATATTTACCTCCTAGTAAAAGTGCTTTTTTTTTTTTTTCAAGTCGATCCTAACTGATCCTGAGATTTGAAGTGCCAATGAGAGTCAGCACAAATGGTTAAAAGACAAAGAATATTTTAAGAAAACCAACACTTATTATTTATAAATAACTAATTTATCTAATATAATTTTCATAAATTAGTTATCTAGCTCTTATATTTAGGAACAGAAGACTTCCGTCATAATTTATCTTAAATTTGTTCTGTTTTACAGGAAATCCAACGTTGATGAATCCATTAGAGCCATGTTGTGTGGGTTTGAAAGGAGGGGGATGTGGGATCGTGGATAAGAAAGGAGAGAAGCAATACAAAGTATGTGAGAAAGCAGAGGAGTCAATCTTCTGGGACAATGTTCATCCTTCTCAAAATGGTTGGCTTGCTGTCTCCACGGCTCTGCAATCTTCTTTCCGACAACTATACGTCTGATCAGCAATATTCAATTATAACTACCATATGCTTCACTTTTAGAATTCTAGACTAATGTAATATCTGCTTCTTGAATATCTCTATACGGCACTTACATAATATATTTCAGGAGAAATAATAAACATATCCAGACATTTCTGATACGATGCACTTAATTTATTCCAAGTTATACTTCTCTCTTTCTTCCTTAAACTATGCAGCTTCTATTTAATTGTCTAACATTTTTCTTAGTTTTCACTTTTGCTTTTTTAATTTAATCGGTTCTAATTTAGTTTCTCAACTTTATCTTAACTTTCATTCCTTAATTTCGTCTGGCTCCACTTTTTTTTTTAAAAAAAAAAGAAGAATCTTAAGTTTTAGTGTTTCACTTATTGTTCTTTAATTTCATTTTTGTTCAACTCACTATAATTAATACAAAGATTTCTTTTTTTTTTCCCCCTTGTCAACGAGTCTTGTAGATTTTTTTTTATTAACAATTTCTTTCAATATTGTTAAAGAGAACAATATTTGAGTATAATTTAGATTTTTCCTAAAAATAAAATAAAATTAGGATACTTCTTGAGTGGAAGTATATGTACCCAGAACACAGGATTTGAATTGGGTTTTGTGGCACCATCAAAATTCGTTATGACAAGCAGAAACCAAACCACATAAATTGCCTGTGAACGATTCACCAGAAGAAAACATGTGAGAGCTGGCTTACCTTCTAAACATCACCATCATCCTCACCAGACATTGAACAGTCAGAATAAAAGCAGCGTCTAATCTTTCAAATCCTGACCCAAGTGATGAAGAATGTACCTTCCATCAGGGACATATCCTTCATCTTTCAAGTGTTTCAACAAACCAGATAAAGTGCAATATATGATATCAGCTTGCGGGTGCAATCTGTCCCACACAACAAAGCTATTGATTTTATTCTCCATCTCTATCCAACTCATGCCTGCTTCTCTCGCTACTCCCATCTCCTTCATTCTCTTAATAGTTTTTGCCCTTGCCTTCCATTTCCCCTCAGTAGAGTATATATTGGACATCAAAATGTAAGGAGCTGGGCTATCAGGTGCGGCGAGATGGAGTTGATCAGCAGCATATTTACCCATCTCAGAATCACCATGTATGCCACAAGCACCAAGCAATGCTTGCCAAACCAATACACCGGCATTCTCTGGTAGTCCCTCTATAAAAGTTTTAGCTTCCTTAAGGAGCCCTGCCCTACCCAACATGTCCACGATGCAGGCATAATGTTCTGATCGAGGAGTTATGCAGTGATCTTTTATCATGCATTCCATCAATTCCATGCCCTTCTCAACTAAGCCTGCATGACTGCAAGCATGAATTAGAGACAAAAATGTAACATCTGTGGGAGCTATACCTTCCACTCTCATCTCTTCATACAGTTGAAGTGCTCTACAAGCATCCCCATGGCGACCAAAAGCTGCAATCATGGAGTTCCATGAGATTGAGTTCTTCTGGGCCATTTGACAGAAGACTTGGTGCGAGTCAGAAAGATCTCCACACTTGGCATACATATTTATAAGTCCATTGCTAACAAAAGTATTATGAATAAAGTTCTTTTTAATGATTAAGGAGTGAATCTGCTTGCCAAGAGCCAAAGAAGTGTCAACACTAAATACCCCCAGAACAGCTGAAATCATGTTTGGATCAATTTCAATCCCTGACTTCACCATTCTCATAAAAATCTGGATAGCTTCTTCCTCCAACCCATTTTGAGCAAATGCTACGAGTATCACAGTCAAGGAAACCACATCCAGTTCTTCAGCTGACTCAAAAATCTTCCACGCAGCTTCTATACAGCCACATTTTGAATACAAATCCATCAATGCACTTTCAATGAGCAAACCCGACTGCATTCCTAATTTCCAGAGCAAGCCATGAATTTACGCCCTTCCTTCAACGCTTGTAACCTGAACAAGCAGTAAGCGAGCTTAAATATGTCAAATAATTCGGGTTCACTGATCCAGAACACCGCATTTGAGAAAATAATTTTAAACTATCATCGTATAATTCATTTTGTACAAGACCTGACATCACTGCCGTCCAGGTTATAACATTCCTTTCAGGCATTTCATCAAAAACCTGCCTTCCATGACTAAAACAACCACATTTGAAATACGACGTTATTAGAGCATTTCCCACTGAAATTTCCAGCTCAAAACCACCTACAAATACTAAACCATGAATCATCTTATTTAGATCTGAAGACTCAGGACCATCACAAGCTGATAGCATTGTAGTCAGGGTTGCTTTATCATATCGATCACGCTCCGACTGATGCATCTGTTTAAACAAACCATATACCGAGTCAAAATCCCTGTTACTCAAAAACCCAGAAATCACTGTGTTCCAAGATACAGTATCTCTCACAGGCATACGGTCGAACAGCTTAACGGCATCCAATATTTCACCGCATTTCGAATACATAGCAAGGAGAGAATTCCAAATGAATAGGGCATTGCGGATACCATTCGAGCTTCTGAAATCAAAAGGCCGTCTCTCCTTGATGATGCGAGCATGGATTGTAGCACCAAGTTGAAGATTTCCATCTCTCCCGCAAGCTGAGAGAAGGGAACTTATGTCTGCGTGGTCGAGAACAGATCCTGAATTCGACAAAAAGGGGTTTTGAATGCACGAGAATTTCCATCTGGCTGTCATCCATGTAAATAGAAGAGACTAGTGAACTGTCGGGGGATGAAGGCAAGAGAACTTCAAAGACGGGAAAGAAAATATTTGAAAGACACCGGTATACGAATCAAACAAATTATTCTCTTCTTCAAAGATTTTTAATATAATAATCTAATAATGCTATCATGTCTTAGTCCCATCGTCCGCCACCCTCCACCACCATGCGTTATTCGCTGGTGCTCAATCGCCGTCTTAATAGCTTCCTCTGCCGTCGCTCGGTTTCGCAAACCACCGAAGAACCAACCACGAAGTCACCGCAGCAAATCATCCAATAACCACCACCGTCGACCACCTTGGACCACCATGCCGTCACCGTTTCACAGCCATCTATACCACGTTGCAATATGCTCGCCAGTCGCTCCCCCCGCCAGTTTCAGACTTCGAGAGTCTTTGCAATGAAAATTCCCGGTCCTCTAATCATTGGGCGGTTGAGATTAGTTCCTAGCCAACGGCTGAGATTGCTTCTAGGTGCACCTAACGGCGTCGTTTCAGCACTGCTCCCCGGTCGTTAAATTCTCGTTAAATTCCAACCCTTGTTCTAGCACCGTCATGAGCCATTGGCGGGAGATTGGAGACTGCGAGAATCACGATGAAGAGGATCATAAAAGGGTCAGACTCTTTCTTCTTTCATCTAAATCTGGTGCCTGACGAATGAATATAACAAATATCAGTATATGTTTAAAAATTACTTCAAAGTCGCATACAGAGCGGAAGATATGAAGATGGAGATCTACTTAAAGAGAAGGAGGAAAGCGCAGTTCAAATGAGGATCAGCTATGGAAGAAAACGACACCGAGGTTTGGGAATGGGTGAATCGGAAACAACATGCATAGAGTTTCGCAGTTCGTGAGATAAGAAAACAGACCAGATCGAAGTGGGCGCCGGAGACGAGAATTCCGGTGAGTATTTCTTAAGAAGTTGACTTTACTGTTCTTACTCTGGTTCTGAGACATTTGTATTGAAATTACGCCTGCATGCTTTCACATTCTTGTACTGCCTCTTGAACTAAATACATGATGATGCCCTTGACTAACGTGAGATGATATTACTCCTGTCCGATCTTAAATATAAGACTTATTTTATAGTATAATTTACACTATAAATTTTATATTTAGGACCAGAAATACTAGCTATCCATACTTAATATCAGAGTTAACTTAACTTTTTAATTTGATCTAAACTCCAATTCTTAACTTTTTAATTTGATTCTAAACTCAATTCACTTTGTTTTTTTATTTATTTATTTTTTTAAAGTAATCCTTATAATAATTGTCCAGTTAAAGAATCCATCCAATGATAGTTCTAGTTAATATACATATTAGTAAATATTTCTAAGAAAGACACACATGTTTATGACGAATAACTAATTTAACAAACTTTTTAAATCTATTCAAGTTAATCAACTAGCTCTTATATTAAAAATTTTAAAATATTTATATTTATCATTTTTTAAAAACTAATTTTACTTATAAATTAATATTAATCTAATGATATATATATAGATAATCTTTTAGGGGTATCATGTAATATATGTTATAATTAAGTAATTTAGTAATTTTCTTAATTTCTCTAAATTAGCTAATTAGATCTTATATTAAGAATTGAAAGGCAGTACTAATTTATAAATGGATCAAATCCGTGGCCCCACATACTTCTAGCATTCATGCTGTTTGACTATAAGTTATTGACTAAAATTAATTTTTTTTTAACCCCTCTAATTTTGATGTGACTACAACTTAGTTACTAAATTTTAACTTGGTATAACTCAAACTTTTGGCCAAAAAAAAAAAACTTGGTATAACTCACTATTATAGTTTTGATTAGGTTAGAACTCAATTCCTTAATTTTAAATAAATGCAACACAATCTCTATAATTTTAATTATTTAAAATAAGATAATACTTTGGTCTCCTTTTTTTTTTTTTTGGCCAATGGATATACTTAGATCATTTACATCATTATGTTAAAGTTTTTAGTCTGGTAATTTGTTCTATTTTTAAAATATTATGATTAAATTATAAGGGTTAAGGTGCAATTTTAACACAACAACAGTTTACCCGAAAAAGTACTGGGCACTATAAAGTTTATTTGGGTGCAAAAATATACATGAAGTTGTCAAAAGGAAACATGGTACCATGCTGTTAACGTCCGTCAGTTTACCGTTAGAAGGGCCCAGAAAGTCAGTTTTAATGTACATTTTTACAACAAGTTTGCATCAAGGGGCATTAGACACCATGAAATTTACTTGGGTGTAAATATACATGAACTTTGTAAAAGGAAAAAAATAACAAAATTATTCAACCTCCATAAACATCCATTAATTTTATTCTTTTTTGTCTCACCAAATGTTATATTTTCTCTCTATAAATTTCCACTTCCAAGCCGATCCATCTTTCTCTCATCATAGTCAACACGTACACCTCTCTCTCTATCATTTGTTTTCTGAGCCTCCAACCTTTTATATATATTTAAGCAAAACACATTTTTCCCTTCTAGGATAAGGTTCATTACTTGCACCACCCGAGTACTACCTCCAGTCCTTAATATAGGATCCAATGACTAATTTGAGGATATTAAAAATAAATAAATAAATAATTTAAATATTATATTATTTATTTATTTGACATAATAGCATATAGTACATGATCTCTCTCTAAAATATTTATATGCATCATTAAATTATATATTAGTTTACAAGCCAAGAAAATTAATTTGGAAAAAAACAATAAATTATAATTTTTAAAGTTATTTATTATTTATTTTTAATCTCCTCAAATTAGTCCATTAATCCTATATTAAGGACTAGAGGTAGTACTTGGATGCAAGCAATAAACCTCATATCCTAGAAGGGAAAGATGTGTTTTGCTTAAATACATATAAAAAGCTTGAAGGCTCAGAAAACAACATGATAGAGAGAGTGTGCGTGTTGACTATGATGAGAGAAAGATAGATCGGCTTGGAAGTGGAAATTTATAGAGAGAAAATATAACATTTGGTGAGACCAAAAAGAATAAAATTAATGGATGTTTATGGAGGTTGAAGAATTTTGTTATTTTTTTCCTTTTACAAAGTTCATGTATATTTTTACACCCAAGTAAATTTCATGGTGCCTAATGCCCCTTAATGCAAACTTTGTTGTTAAAAATGCACCTTAAAACTGACTTTCTGGGCCCCTCTAACGGTAAACTGACGGACGTTAACGGCATAGTGCCACATGCTATCTTTTGACAACTTCATGTATATTTTTGCACCCAAATAAACTTTATGGTGCCCAGTACTCTTTCGAGTAAACTTTGTCGTTAAAATTGCACCTTAACCCAAATTATAAACTTATATTAGACAAGTAGAACACATGATCATGTGTAATCATAGAACTTGACATGATAGATATAGGAAATTTTATATAAATATTTCCTTTTATGATAGGAAAAATTCTTTAAAAAGACACTTAAATAATCCAAATCCTTATTTAGATTACTAAATTTGTCAAACCCCTACTCAAGTCACATTATCCAAAAAGAGAATTTAAAATTTTATAAAATAACTCTAATACCTATCAACATGCAAAAAAAAAAAAATCAAAATAATCCTCTTGTTTAGGATGTCCCTCGAGAAGATTCATTTCTTATGTTAACCTAAATAATACCTAGTCATGAAAAGTTAATTTTTCAATTAACAAAAGAAAATCTAGCTTCCAAAATTAACAACTTCAAATTAGGTCTTAACCCATTCTGCTTACCCAGTAACAACAAATGTGCCGCTCATAATCATGACCATTATCATTTTTTACAATCAACATAACAAAATCCACTTTCAAAAATTAGATGTTAACACATTTTACTTAGTTATTAACAAAGAAACATGATTCTTATAGTCATGATCATAATCACTTCTTACAATCAAAATAACAAAATTCACCTTTAAATTTTAAAAACTTCAAAGCATGTTTTAATATCTTCCATTTAGCTATTAACAACATACATAACCCTATGGCATTCTTCATATTGAATCTTCGTGACTAAGCAAACGCAATCATTTATCATTTATACATTCACCCTAAACCCCACATCACACACATATATGGATATTTCAACTCGCTTTAAGCGCAACACTCCACAGCTACAATGTTCCCTCCCTCCTTAACAACCCACCCCACCCCCCCCCCCAAAAAAAATCCATATTAAGGAGATAGTAAAATGAAACCATCAAGATTGGGGGAGGAAGATTAATAAAAACTAACTCATAATTGTTTTCTTAGTTGATTTCCCAACTTTAAAATGGTAGATGTCAAGTTTTTCTTGTTTAGAACTCTTATACAAAATAAAAATGACAGAAAATCTTTATTTTTCTAAGTTTCTAATAAACGAGGCATTGGACTTATAAAATCCTTATCTCTCTAGATGTCTCATAAAAAAGGCAGTACAGTTATTTTATAAAATTTTAAAATTCCTCTTCAAACCATGTGACTTGATTAGGGGTTTGACAAATTTAATAACCCAAATAAAAATTTGGATTATTTAAATATCTTTTTAAGAAATTCTTCTTTTATAATATCAATCCTTATATTTTTAAAAAAATACATTTATACATTTCGTCAAACATAAAAACTAAAATTTGAAATGATTAAAATTATTAGTTAAAAAATGTTAACATTATAAAAATTGAGTTATAAAGATTAAAATTTTGAGACTAAATTTTCAATAAACAATTTAGTAACTAGTTATAGACTTATAGCCAACTTGAAAACGTACTCACCAATGTATTACCTCCGATCATAATATAAGACTTTATTTGACTTTTATTTTAGTTTAAATATAAAACTCCAGTTCACTTTGTCTCTCATATTTATGCATTTTTTTTCTAAAATAGTCCTTTTAATAATAGTAGTTATAGTTAATATACTTGATTAGCAATGATATTTTAGGAAAAACAACATATATTTATTACAAATAACTATGTTAACTTATTCTTTTAATCTCTTCATATTAGTCAACTAGCTCTTATAATTAGAACTGAAAGTAGTATTAATTTTCCCTTCAAATAACAAAGTAGAATTCAAATAATTGAAACTATTATTTCCTTCACGAATTTAATAAGGAACCACTAAATAATGCGAGTTTAGAGGACAACAAATGGTTGCTGATTGCGTTGCGTGAACCTCGCTAGAGCGGCCAAGGCTGGCTGATTGGATTTGAAAGCCTCGCTCTAAGGCAACTTTGGTATAGAGATAGATCAAATTGTGTTTAATAGTGATTGATCTTAGGAAGTATTTGTCGCGAGACTAAACCGTAATTTTAAAAATAATTTTACAATATATAAAATAAATATGTGAAAATTTATCTCAATTTGTAAAAAAAAAAAAATCTTTTTAAAAAGTACTTTTATCCAAAATCTCATTATAGCCCTGTATTTTTATTTGTTTTGTTTCTGCTATAAGGTATTTGGACAACCCCAAAATGATTTTTTAAAATCATTTTTTTACAAATCGAATAAATTTTTTTACATAGTTATTTTGTATAGGTTAAAATATACATTTAGTCTTTTAACTTTGTATAAAATTTCAATTTGGTTTTTAACTTTAAAAAGCATACATTTGGTCCTTTAATCCTAAAATCATTAGGCTTTAATAATGATTTTTTTGTAACAATTATGAATTTTTCTGAAAATTAAACTTAATATGTTTGCATTTGAGAATGTTTTATCAACATTTAAAATCTTAATATCATCACTTTTTTAAAAAATTTACGGTTAAAGAACTAAAAGTATATATTTTAAGTTAAATGACTAAATTAAAGCATTGTATATATATTTTAGCTTTTTATACATTATAAAAGTATTTTAAAGTCATGATTTTGTTTCTGTCCACGGCTAGTTTTGGATACGGAAATTAAAGGATTAAAGAATTTAAGCTGGAAAAAAAAAGGCAGAAGTCCAGCTAATGTGATGATTGGTCCCCCCCCCCCCCAAAAAAAAAAAAAAAACCGGCCCCCCCATTGGATGTTGTTGCTTTGTCTCGCTGGGTCCTTCAACCCCTTCCTCGAGAAGAAAGGAATATTGAAAAAGGGAAAAGAGTAGGCTCACACTCACACACCTAACGTTTTGTATCGTACTGAGCATTGCAAAGCGGAAAAACGCAAGCGGAGCAGAGCATCACAGATAGTAAACTAACAGACGCAATACTTTCCGTGAACTTAGTGGGGAAGTTTAGTGAATAGGCACTAGCCCCATCGTTAAATCCTTCGCTTACTACCACTACTTAGACTGGCACTTCCTTCGCGCTCCCCAATTTCGTGTTAGCTGGTAACTGAATCCGAAGGTTGGTTTCTCTGTTTCTCTTCTCATTTTCTTGCACAATGTGAATCCATCGTGCTTTTCAACTAAAATTCTTATCAATGGGTGTTGGAGGATTGGTTCTGCGATGTTATCTGGCGTGTATAATTTATAAATTTTGGGGTCTCTAACTCTAGCTGTGAGTATGGCTTGATTTGCATAGGATGGTGTCTTTTGTTTTGGCTTTTGTTTGGTTGAGTCTTAGTTTTGTTACCGATGATCGGTCGAATTCGAGATTCTTGCGTGCTGTAAGATGTGATTTGTATACTTCGATCAATGTATGCAGGTTGGAAATCAGCTTGCATCCGAGGAAAGTGCGGAGACTGTGCGCTTAAATTAATAGCTTTCGCCAGGATCGAGTGTATTGCCATTACCTTTGCACCTCATACTATGGTGGTAAGAATATTTTTCTTCTGTTTTCATGGACTTTTTTCCATCTCTTTTTTCGGCCTTGTGGGAGGAGTAAGTGGAGTAGGTAATAAAGATATTGCTTCCAGATTTTATAAGTGCTCATATATCCTTTGGTTTGGGACCTTTAGGGGAACCTATATGAACGTATGAATATACCCTAGATGTTGTTCCTTATTAAAATCAAGTCTCTGTGCTTAACAAACGTAGAAAATTGTTCTCAAATGTTGGCCTTCAGTTGCTATTATTGACTAGTTTGGTTATTATAAGCTTGTGTTTTGGAGTGAGGAAAGAAAGGAGGGCGTTTCGATTTGCAACACGTCATGATTCTCTCCGAACATGTTTCCTTGTTCACTTTAATAACTGTGCCATGGAAAATCAGTCTGCAGAACTGGAAGCGTTAAATTGTTATTTGAGAAAACGTTGTGTATTAAAAAAAATTTTAGAGCAAAAAGTTTGTACAAAATTTAATTGATTTACTTATTTATTTATTTATCTTTTTGGTGGATGTGCTTGTCCATATCTCTTTCACTGTCTAATAGTTGTTGTCGATCTTACTATATTTGGTGGATTGTGTATTGATTACTTCTTTATAAATTACGTGCGTAAAACCATCATCTTCCTTCTCCATCACGCATTCAGAAATCTTGTTTATGCGTTTTTTCAATAGTCTAATAATTGGGACTGCAAGAATGTTACTTTTAGTAAACAAGCTTATTAGAAATATAGCTTCGCACGCCCCCTTTCTTCCCTGCTATTTGTTTTGGGTGGCAACTTCAAATACTAATTTAACTGACAAAAATGCGCGATATATGTTCTGCAGACTACCCCAAAAATGGAGCTAGAAGGTAGAGAAAAAGAAAGTATAGTTACTCAAGTTAGCATTGGTGGATTTGATGGTCAGATCAAAGCAAAAGATCTTGTGTCATACTTGGAAGAGAAAATTGGACTTGTAGATAGGTGTCGGCTGAAAACTTCTTCGACCCCTCCAGAGTCTTATCCAGATTTCAGGATCACTGAAACAACAAATATTGAAAGAACAGATGACTATAAGAAGGTGGTACCTCATGCATTTGTGCATTTTGGATTACCTGAATATGTAACTGAGGCATACAATGCTGCTGGCCGCTGTGATCTATTTTGGCAGAATCAAAATTTAAAGGTTAGCTTGGGACCTGAAAATCCATACTTCTTAAACCTAAGGAGGAGAACCACAACTCCTTTTAAGTTATCTGATGTACGTGTTGAAATCGGGAGTTTGGTTGACCCAGAGAACTTTTATGTTGCCTGGAGAGGACCTGATAAAGGGGTCAACTTTCTGGTAGATCCATTTGATGCCACATGCAAAATATGTTTCAACAAAGATGTTGTTTTCTCTTTTAAAGGTATGGAGAAAAAAGCAGTGATCAAGTGCAACTTTCAGGTGGGATTCTTGGTCAGAGATATACATGAAATCAAGAGATATGATGATACGTCATCTGCATCTTTAGTTATCTTATTACAGCTGGCTTCGTCACCATTGGTTTGGTACAGAACTGCAGATGATGACATTGAAGAGTCAGCTACACATGTTTTGCTAGATGATGATGATCCGTGGATCAGAACCACAGATTTTACTCCTAGTAAGGCCCTTGGCCGGTGTAGTTTTTACAGAATTTCTATGCCAGTAAGGTATCGTATGAAATTGCTGAAGACCATGGAGTATCTAAAAGGCCAAAGAGTCCAGGAGATTTCACTTAATCGGCCTATTAGAATAATGAATGAACCGTTTTATGGGGTGCCCTTGTCAGATCATTTCTTCAGTATTCATTTCCAGAAAGGCATCACCTTTGACATTATGTTTTTGATTAATGCAATTTTGCACAAAGGCATATTCAATCAACACAGGTTGTCGGATGGCTTTTTTGAGCTGTTGAGAAAACAGCCTAAGGAGGTCAATGTGGCTGCACTCAAGCACTTGTATTCTTACAAGCGCCCCATATTTGATGCAGCCAAGAGGCTTAAAATGGTGCAAGAGTGGTTGCTTAGAAATCCAAAGCTTTACCAAATCTCTAAACAGTCAGATGATATTGCAGAGGTTCATAGACTCATCATCACTCCAACCAAAGCATATTGCCTACCACCTGAAGTTGAAATGTCCAATAGGGTTCTCAGGAAATTCAAAGAAGTTGCAGATCGGTTCTTGAGAGTCACATTTATGGATGAAGGCATGCAGACAATCAATGCATCTGGTCTAAACTACTATGTTCCTCCAATAGTGAAGGAGATCACCTCAAACCCCTTCCCGCAAAAGACTAATATATATAGAAGGGTGAAGACAATTTTGGAAAAGGGTTTTCACTTGTGTGGCCGAAAATATTCATTTTTGGCCTTCTCATCCAATCAACTACGAGACCGTTCTGCATGGTTTTTTGCAGAAGAAAAGAGCATAACTTGCGATCGCATAAGAGATTGGATGGGGAGGTTTAATCACAAGAATGTTGCCAAATGTGCTGCGAGGATGGGACAGTGCTTCTCATCTACATATGCAACTGTGGAGGTTGCAGCACATGATTCAATACCTGATATCAAGAGGAATAATTATGATTTCTCTGATGGAATCGGTATTATTAGACCTGATCTTGCAAGAGCAGTAGCTGAGAAATTGAAATTGGATGATGTGCCCTCTGCATACCAGATCAGATATGCTGGTTTTAAAGGGGTTGTAGCCTGTTGGCCAGCTAGAGAGGATGGGGTCCAACTTTTATTAAGACCAAGTATGAACAAATTTGAATCCACCCACACCACTTTGGAGATCTGCTCTTGGACTAGGTTTCAATCTGGTTTCCTTAATAGGCAAATCGTGACATTGCTTTCAGCACTGAATGTGCCCGATGAAGTATTTTGGAACATGCAGGAGGCTATGGTTTCGAAGTTAAAAAAAATGCTTGTGGATGCAGATGTGGCTTTTGATGTTCTTACGAAGTCTTGTGCTGAGCATGGAAATGCTGCGGCAATAATGTTGAGTGTTGGTTTTAGCCCTGAATTGGAACCTCATCTTAGAGGCATATTAACATCTGTACGTGCTGCACAGCTTTGGGGCCTTAGAGAAAAGGCCAGGATCTTTGTTTCATCTGGGCGATGGTTAATGGGCGTGTTAGATGAGGAGGGTGTGCTTGAACAAGGACAGTGCTTCATTCAAGTCTCTACCCCTTCTCTTGAAAATTGTTTTGCAAAACATGGCTCAAGATTCAAAGAGACAAAGAATCTACAAGTAGTTAAAGGTTTGGTGGTTATAGCTAAAAATCCTTGTCTTCACCCTGGAGACGTAAGAATTTTGGAAGCAGTTGATGCTCCTGGTTTACATCACTTACATGATTGCCTTGTTTTTCCTCAAAAGGGTGATAGACCCCATACAAACGAAGCTTCTGGAAGTGACCTTGATGGGGACCTCTATTTTGTTACATGGGATGAGAATCTTATTCCACCCGGTAAGAGGAGTTGGACGCCTATGGATTATATATCTCAAGAAAGCAAACTTCTGGCACGTCAAGTTACTACTCGAGTATGTGTTCTTTCATTCATCTTTCTCCCTAATGTTACATAGTTGCATGTTTTCCATGGACAAAACTCAAAATAAGACTGTTTAATATCTTTCGTATATTATGTTAGACCGTCATTTTTTAATCAATAATTAAGCGTCATGCACAGGTTAAGGACTTACCTAAAGTGATCATAGTAAATATTGAGGGTATGTTTCTTGTGATCTGAATTGTCACACAATATTTTAAATTGTGTCGAAACATGAAATTTGGAAAGAAAAAAAAAATTGCATATAAAGTGATGCCCACAATCCCGCATCTTCTGTCTATAGCTATTAACGAGAGTTTTTAATGGTGCAGTAGCATTGCCATCATTTTATTTATACCACATTCAAACTTTCACATCAAAGTTCTTTTAGGTCATTGATGAAATGCATAAAGGGTATAAAAAGGAAAAAAATTAAAGGCAGAAATAACT